GTTATACATGGGAACACTGGAAAAAAAACTTAATTTCTGCCCCAATGGATACAACTAGAGCGCTTTATGTTTAGTTACTCCTTCAAAAATACTGCAGGCCTGCTGAGATTCAAACGCTTCCTGACAGAGTGTAAGAACTGGCAAGTCTCATCTGTCATAAATACTACTTCAGCCAGCAAGCAAAGCTTTGTTGCTTATCAAAAACCCACCAGCACCGAAAGCTTGCCAAATTCCAAAACTGCTGTCAGGACCTTTTTGTTCAACAATAGTTGCGTGTGGATGTCAGTAAAAGTCGAGGCAACTGTTCTGTTACCCTACTGACCCCTTTTTAGTTTAATCTAGCGCGGAGGCTGAAGGCTGAAGGCTATTCAGGGAAAACTGGTATAAGGAACTTAGTGTTACATGCTATGTTTCTTATTCTATTAATCTCACAACGCCCACATAATAGTAAATAAACTGCTGGGTGGTCATCACGGGCGTGCGCTACATAAACACAACACTGGTGTAAGCAGCTCCTATCATCTCCCAGTCAGTCTCTCTTTCTCTTTGTTCTTGTCTCACTTAGACAGACACACCAAAATGAAAGTGAGTGTACGGTGGGTGGGCGAAGAAAGACAGCAAGTGTGCAGCGAGTGAGAAGCGAGAGGCATAGAAGGATGTGTGTGTTCCTCTGGGCCGACCAGTGACCACTTCTGTTTGTTTGACTGCTGCCTCTCTGACCACCACTCTGACCAGACCGCTGCAAAAACAACGTTTCTCCAACAGCAAGGGCTGGGATGCAAAACTGGTCATTCTGGTGAGTCTGGATACAACCAAATAACCTATATCTTAGAATTAATATGAAGTTATATATAGGAGGACTCATTACTAGTTATAAGATTTGGCTGACTTTGAATTGAATACTTAATTTTAATTGGAAAATCTCTCAAATAGTTTCTCACAAACAAACGCTGCTAAATGTCTCTATGATATGACAAAAAAATGTATAGATATACATACATATATATATTTTATGATGACTTGAGACATGGTCCACAAAGTGCACTAAGATACTCAAAGAAAACTAGACAGTGGGAGAATGAGTGCATGGCTCTGTGTGCGTGCTGCGTGTTGTGCTGTAAGCGCATGCGAAATCATTTAGGGTTAGAAAATGTTAGCTCTGGTTTGGCAGTGTGCGACAGTCGACCATTAATGCTTTCTCCGTAAACAATTTCCACAAAAATAAATTCACGAAATATTTCTTTCCCCATAGACACAGACAAACATTTATCCATTTTTCTTCACTACTGTTATACTTCTAATACTACATGATCGTATTTGTGTGGGGTTCAGCTTCTTTCAATTACAATTTTATAACATTTCTGCTTCATATGACAAGATATGATTCAACTACAGGTCAAGATTGGTGATCTACAAGAGGAGCATTGTGTTTTACTGCAGCAAAAGATAATTCATTTAAAAAAAAAGATGAATGATGCAGGTTCATCATCACATTTATATGATGCTCTTTCTGGCAAAGACGTTTACAGTGCTTCCCTTATCAGATTACAAGTTGTTGCAGTGTACTTTTTTCAGATGCTTAGTGTCATCAATCCTGACAAACATGAATGAGGCTTCCACAAACACTAAATCTTTGCGAGTATAGTTTCCTTCAGTGAAGCGCAATCTGCATCCAACCAGGCAAATTGACAGGGAATAAATTATGGTGTACAAACTGTTTTGTTAACTTGTTGTGGCAATAAAACCTATTATGGGGGAAAATGGAAACCCTCAAAGATTTTCCAGATAGGTCAGTGGGGAATCTGCAGGCCAACCTCTGCAGGCTAATGGGATCATTACTGGAGAAGACAAGTATGATACATATGTGGCTTTTTCCTCTGAATCCCATTTAGTTTGAAGTCTGGATGAATTTCAAGTAATCATAATTTACCTAAAGCTTGCAGCATTGCAATTTTATGTTCGTTTCTGGTCAGAAACGAACATAAAATTGTTTCTGGCAACACCTCAGACTGACACTTTAGTAAATCATTAACTAAAAAAAATACAAAAAGCTCAATAATCACATCCTGAATCTGTCAAGACGTCCTTTTGCAAAGATTCGGAGAGACATGAGATGGTCACTGATAAGACTGCTCTCACACCTGACTGCAACATGGAAGTTGAGTACGCCGACATAATGGGCTCCTTTGTAGTGTGTGTGTGTGTGTGTGTGTGTGTGTGTGTCCTCTGACCCCTCCAGGGATAATTAGGGACATATTTTTCTCCGATCTGTCTTGGGGGCTGGGGAGTGTGTGTGTGTGTGTACATTTGTGTGTGTGTGTGTGTGTGTTCATGCATATGCACATGTGCGTGCAACCTAATGTGCCCCATCCCGTTCCTTGAACATGCCGATCCAACCTGCCCTCCGTATGTCTAAGACTCGTGCTTCTGGGCTGATTGCCCGTATCACTTTCACTCACCGGCTCACACACACATTCAAACACACACGCACATACAGTCACATACACACAGAGGCACACACCTTTTTAGACCAAGCCCTTGTAAAGGCACCTCCTCAGGGACGCGTCGTGAAATGTACTCCTTGTTAGGGTTTGTGTGTGTGTGTGTGTGTGTCTGCTTTTCCTCAGCTGTTTCCTGTCAGCTCTGAGGCCAACAGACTGTGAAGGCCTCTCTCTCTGCTCCAACTTTGCAGCGTCTCTGCTTCTAAATGACCAAAGAAACTTTGGTGGAGGATGTTTCTGACGATGTCATCACAAGGAAAATCTGACTGTGAAGTTGATCGCACTAAAATGTGATCCCCTCTCCTCCATACATATCCCATAACAAGCTAAATCTAATTTGGGGCAAGCAGATTCTTTCCAATGTGTATGCACCCTTCACTGTAAAAATATCACACATTTTCTTAAGGCTTTTAAGGTTCCATTGACACATCAACTAAAAGTCCATATTGTGCCATTAATGAGTGAGTGTGATGAACTACAAACCTATGACTGCAAAATGGACATAATTCAAGCGTTAAGCTGTGGTACGTTTTAATCAAATTACAATGGTGACACAATTATTTCTTTACATCCGATGAGAGCTTTATGATGAATGGTGACATTGTCCCTTTCTTTGGTACATTGTCTAATGTCAAGATATTTGTTTATTCGTCATATAGTTCAGTTTTGCATTGAAAGTGTAATAAATAAAGTTTGATTGGAATCGATTTATGAACACTTGAATTTGTATTACCTTGAGTGGAAGTCATATTAAGTAATTATTTACAACACAGGGAAAATTACCAATAAATCAATAAGTGAAAAATAATTAGAGCTGCTATGATTAGTCAACGAGTCAGTCAATAAGTGAAATAACAACTATATTGATAACTGATTAATCGTAAGAAAAGTGATACATTTAGTTATTTGTTCTGTGTCATATTTGACAGAAAACTAAATAAATTTGCATTTTGGTATGTTGTTAAATGAAACAAACAATTTCAATACATCGGTTTGGCCTGTAGACATTTTCGGATAGACAAAAGTATTTATTGAATGATTGAGAAGATAATCGATTGTGAAAGTAATTGTCAGTTGCAGCACTATCTTACTGAATGTCTACTTCTTGGTGCACATACCCTTCTAGAAACATAATACAGTTTAGAGAAACCTGGCCACAATAATTCAAACTAGTTTTTCAATGACATGGTCATTTACCTGCAGATGTCATTTGCACTTATGTATCTTTAGGTTTGTATTCTCTTCTGCTATTCAGTGCATAATTACTTTGAACTTCTGCACTTAAAGATGTCTTACCTTTGGCTTTTGGTTTTTATGTGTGCTTCAAAGATGTTACATTTTTGACGTTACATGTAAAGCACTATCTCGTGTGGAAAGGGTTAAATGTTTGGAATGACCAAAAATTGCAAAATAGCCCTGTCTTCTTATTCTTGTCTATTAGGTAAGAACAATGCTTTGATTAAACAACCAAAGGCCGAACAAACCAATAGATTTCCCCAGAACAAAGACTGTCCAACCAAGAAACATGATTATGCACACACACACACACACACACACACACACACACACACACACATACACACACAAAGAGGCATCCGTGCTTCAGTAGACGACTTTCTGGAATCGTCTTTGCTGTTATCTGTTCCCTTTATACTCCCTGTTTTAAGTCAAGTCTCTTATCAGGCTCTTGTGAGGTGGCTGCATAGTTATAGAGGAATTCAAAGAATTGAACTGACATTTCTAAAACTCTGTGAAAGCACTCAAACAGACCAGATGTCTGTTTCTGGTCAGTCCTGAGCTGATAAAAAGGATGTTTTATTGAGCTTCTGCTTGAGAGAAACACCCAACACGACACTGTTTCATCTGGACACTCAGCTGATAAAGCTGTAGATCAATGGTTTCGTCTAGTCTAGTTTAGCGAAGTCAGCTAAGCCGCTGAGCTGAGCTGCTTTTCAACAGAAGAGGAAAATGTGTATTTGTCATAAAAAGTAAGTCAAATGTTTTGGGAAACATTGTGAAAGATAATAGTCACATCCAATACAGAAAAGGATTGTGGAAATGTTGTTGTGTGTTTTTTTTTTTTTATACAATTGAATAATATAATTTTTAATGGGAAAGGAGCCTTGCAGATTAGAGAGAGAAAGCTAATCAGTGAGTTCCACCTCTCTGATCAACCGGGATTTCTGTCCCCTTTTTTCATGTTTTCTCTTTGTCTACAAGAGTTTTGTTAAGCTGCTCAGTTTGTTAAGCTGTCCTTTGCAGAAGTGCCCTCGTAACAAAAAGAGGAATTTAAGTCATTTTGTTGGAGAGATAAAAGTAATCTTATTGAGTGCTTTGATGAACGGAGACTAAACAAAGACCTAAAATACCTTCTTCTTAGTCTGACATTTTAGCCTGAAACACTGGCATCTCTGGAGATAATCATTTAATACCACTGAAATATTATACTTTGTTTCTATATCCCTTTTCATTCATTTCTAGTACATCGTTAGCACCAACCTGCTCCAAAGGCGAAAAAGAAGCTCTTGTCAGGGTGTTCCTCTAGCAGTGCCTTGACCCTCTTCCCCATCCTCTCATTCCTCTTGTAGATGAGCTCTTGTCGAAAGTAGCTGTCTATTTCCTGGGCGGTCACCTGCTCGCTGGGTGGCAGTGTCACATTATTGAAGTTAGGGACCTAGAGGGTGAAAGGGGTTGATGGTTCAGTCAAGCCCACAAAGGGGAAAAGGAGAAGAGGGAGAGGGAGATTTCTTTTGTTTTGCGTTTCCCAGCGCTTTTCATTCAATTTTCACACAGTAAAAGAAACTCTGAAAACACATTAAAATGTGTATTCAAACTGACCAAGGTGAACTGGGATTGCTGGGCGGAAGAATAGCAAACATAATAGAGAGAAAGACAAGGCACGGATAATGGAAGGAAGAACAGAAGAAGTAAATTGGCGATAGAGAAGCTGATAGAAGGGATGGTGTAGGAGGAGGTGTGGGGGATGAAAGGTGGCCAGAGGGTTAGGGGTGAAGGTAAAAGGTCAAGGGTCGTGTCACTGGGACACTCCAAAAGGTCAAGGGGTCAAAATTACTCTTAGCTTATTAACTACATTGAAAGTCGTTAAAGTTCACTGCTACATAAGAAAAAATAAGATAAGATGAGATGAGACTGACCTGTGAGGTGTCATGATTGAAGATGATGGAGTTGAGATCTCCACAGTTGTAGTGTCTGATGAGGTCTTCGGTGGTGTACGGGACCTGTAGGCTTCCTGCCCTCAAAGACTCCTGCTGTAATAACGTCTGGTTCAGGGCAAAGATCACCTAGAATGAGACACTGGCAATTAGTTTATATGTTTTTTACCCTGATGGAACCCCCCAAAGACTCTCTGGTCTCATAGTTGTATATTGATCCAGCGAAAAGCAAGTAAATGTATGTGTATGTACAACAATTATAATTAATAATGCACGACTTTGCTCATGATCACCTGTTTCACCTCTAAAACTCATACAATTATGAATATGTTCGCTCAAGTTAAAAAACGTCCTTGAGTTTAAAATGACTTAAGTAGTTTAAAACTACTCAAGGAAGTAATGTTGCTCATGCTCTGGCACTTGAACGGGGATTATAGAAGGAAGCTGTGATATTAACTGACAAAAATGAAAAAAAAATAGGTTTGAATTCAACAACATTTGTTTCCTCTGTTACAGTCGATCACAGATGCAAACCTATCCAAACAAGACCAACAGTCTCCTGCCATGTTGGCCGGATTGTATTAATCATCTGGGGACCAGGAATCCGTCGAGTAGTTATTGAGATATTTCAGTCTGGACCAGTGGTGGGCCGTCAACTGACTGACCGACCAACCAACCGACATTTCCATCCCTAGAGCCACGTGGCTAGCGTGGCCATAATTCACACATGCAATCCGCACATATCTTTTTGTTACACCTTCTCGAGTGACAGAAACCTTGATGTGATCTAAAACCCAAACCGGAGGTTAACAGAGTGAAATACTTTAGATTTACTGAACTATATAGCAAAGGAGACAGTTTGAGTTGTGCCTGCCGAACCCCTCCGTGCTCTGCTGCAGAGACTCGGCTTTTGTGTGAGCGTGAAATCAGCCAGTGTTTGGTGAGAGGGCCCTGGTGAGCCTGCCGCCTGTGATCAGTACCGCGAGGACACACATATGCATAAATGCACACAAATACACGTGAACACATACACACACTCTGAAGGTCCTATGGGGTCTGCGCATAGGCGACCGAGACGGACACACAAAGAAACCACCGCCACTCACCTCAGCACATGCTCTCCCTCTGATCTCCCCGCCATGCACACACACACACGCACGCACGCATGCACGCACGCACGCACGCACACACGCACACACACACACACACACACACACACATACTCACACACACACACACACACACACGCACACCTTTCACCCTGCAAGCCATTGATCTTGAGCCCCATAAAAGAGGAAAGTTTGTATGGCTTATTTGTTTCTCAATGGGAGGAATCAGTCAAAGTGAAGATGTGTTTTGTCAGCTGTGGAACTATGTAAATGTGTCTACAGTACGTCTGCATGTTTTTACAATTCAGTGTGCATGTGTGTACGTATTTGTCTGTGTGTGTGTGTGCGCGTGTGCACTTTCAGATCTTTGTCAAATGAATTCTGTATTGATATGCATACCCGTACGCCAACCCAAACGGCTGTTTTTTTTTTGTTCATGTTCTGCTTTCTAAGGTGCTCTGATGACACTTTTCTCTGTCGGCTGGCCCATTGTGGGAGCCTCGGTGCAGCAGAGGAGAGGAGGAGATGAGGGCAGCCTGGAGCAGATGCCTTCTTGTCAGGGGACAAAGAACCCCTCCGTCACCCTCTCTTCTCGTCTCCCCTGCGCTCCCTCCAGCTTTCATCGGCCGCGCATCAAAGTAGCGCTCTGCATATGAAAAGGGCCCCGTCTTTATGCCACGCAAATTAGCCTATCGCGCCCCTCCCCGACTCATTTCACAAAAAAACACCCTCACATCTGTGCCACGTCCGTGAAGGAAGGCTCTCATCTGCAAGGTCTCCCCTTTTTCTCAGCTCTCTCCTCTCCTCTTTCTCCGCTCGCCGTGCCTTTCAGCCCCTTAAATTATGGCTGTTGAGGGAGGAGGAGGGAGAGCAGGGGGAGAGAGAGAGGGGGGGGATCAGTCATAGCCGGCTAAAAAGAAAGAGAGTTAAAAAAAGGGGGAGGTTAAGGGATGGAAAGAGATAGACAGGAAGAAAACACAAGCGAGAAAGTGAGGGAGGATATACAGAAAACAGGAGCAGAGCGAAAGAAAGAAAACCTTAATGAATGATTTCTTTCTTTCCACTGTGATCCTCCTCTTCTGTTAGTGCACTGTGGGTCAGCGGGTGCATTTTCCCACTCGGCTCCTTTCATCAGGTCCCCCTGTTTCTTCTTCTCCTCCACTCCCCCCCCCCACCCCCCATCCCGCCCCCTCCAGCACGCACACACACAGACACACCCCTTGCTGATATCAAAGCAAGCGGAGCCAATAAAAGTCAATAATTGTCCTTTGTTAGGAAAACCCCCCCCCCCCCCCCCTTGTTGAGGTGGAGTGGGGTGGGTGTGTGCATCCAGAGCAAACATCATCACAGTCAGATTCCCACATGTGGAGATTTGAAGTGTTCGGAGTCTCAGCTGAAAAAAAAAAACTCTCGCTGCTCTCGCTCTGAAGCACGTTGCCTTCGTTTGAGATTTGCAAGAAAAGTAGCGAGCATGCTTTGGGGAATATCTTTGAGAGGAGGATACATTAATTGCATTCATGAAACGGTTGATCAATTTCCAAAAACCCTTCGCCTGTTGAGAACAGTAATATCAATTCATCAACGGTACGCACGAGGGCCTAATATCAATTTGCCAGCAGCGGCATCATTAGAAGTGAGATGTGTCAAACTGTTTCACACAGTTCCACAAAAAGCCGACTACACACTGAACACAAGCACCTGCGCTGTACAACTGCATCAGTGATGCAGCATAGTGAGTAGTAGCGCTCTGCCTTATTATTTGAAAATCATTATTTCAACATCTAGTGATCTGGTCAAATTCAGATTTCATAGACTTTAAGCACAGCGGACTATTTGAATTCATTGTTCTACTCCACTGAGGTCTCACAAATGTTCACGTCATTGGGCTTATTATCGAGCTGATATCAAGTAGTCTGAACATTTTCATTGCAACGGCAACAAATCTGAGCCGTCACTCGAGTGAGGCAGAAGGGCCCCGCCATAAATTAGCAGAACAACGTCAATCTGGCAAACCAGTTGAGAATTCGAGGATAAAATATGAACTTTTTACAGTTTGTTTTAGTTGTAATTCATTCCAACTAGTTTGCTTTACAACTGACAGCACTGTTGAGCACAAAACCCACTTTTAACAGCAGGACAGGATTACGGCACGACAGCCTGCACCGCTCTAACGCAGCTCAACACCCGGCTGCTTTCATGCTACTTCAGTTCCCTCCCCAGTATAAGGCATTTAATATCAGTGTGTCAGCAACACATTTTGTCAGTATATAAATGTATAGTGAACGTAAACTGCCCATGAGGTCCTGTCACTGAATGAATCTGGTGCAATGGGAGCAGCATATAAACACAGAGATAAACTCCGTGTATGGTAAATTATTCTGATTGGAAGTGCTGGCAAAGGACTTGGAGAATGTTTTCAGTAACTTAATTTCCTATTTAATTTTGATAAGGAACTAAAGAGAAGCATGTGTGCGCCTGCATGCAGCTATTGTTCTATCGATGTGTTTTCTCTTGTTTTTCTGACTTGTGTGCGTGTCTCCAGGTTGAGTTTCATAAAAGGTAGCCTGTCCACACTGTGTTGACCAACCATGTGCTCAGGCAGCCACACACACAAAACACACAGCACTTGCAGCCCTGGCTATCTCCCAAATATAAATGAAGACTTCCAACAGCTCGTCTGTTTCCTACTGACTCGCTGATGCTATCAGAGTAATGCAACTCTGACTCGCTCTGTCCTTCATATTACACTCACATAGGGTAAGAGAGGGGAAAGAGGGGATGACTGTCGATGATGTCGACCAGAAATCAGCAGAAAAAGAAACACAACACCTGAACCAAGAGAGTGAAGGACAGACAGAAAGAAAGAGACAGAGATAATGAGAATAATGGACTCTCAGTGCTGATGTTATCAGTGAAGTCTCAGAGGAGGAGAGCACGAAGGCAGACAGAAATAGACAGAGAAAAGGGTTCTGAGTTACTTATGAGTGATGTTATCAGTGAAATGTTAGTCGGAGCAGTCGGCCTTCAAACAAGACCTATCAGGAGAACACTGCCAGGGTTTTAAAGAGACTCTGAACTATAGTTCTCAGGTAGTCCCACATTTGAACACCAACACCTGGTTATTTACAGTGGGGTTTGTTTAACTGCAGGAAGTAACTTGTCCTATATTTCATCTTCCAGACAAGGTGGGGTTAAGGGACGGATTTTCGCAGCAGATTTTAGGGCTGATTGTAACAAATCGGCATCGGAGCCAATATATGAAGAGGCATAGGTCATAATGTGACATCTTAAATATTGTTCTAGTTTCTTAAAGTTTGCAAAGGTCTCGAATAGATAATGTTGTCAAAAATCAAATCGTTTTGCCGCCTGAAAAAGTCTAAAATTGGCAAAATTCAGATCAAAATCAGCAACTATCAAATCAATAAATAAGATTACCAATCTGGCATTCAATACCGATTTGCAGTACTTTTCATTTATGACATTTTTATACATTTGGAACATTTTGCCATGGCATTGGATCAGAATTGGAAACCATTGTAACTCTGTGAAGCTGACTACAGCAGCCATCCCCTGAAAGAAGTGAGCTCAAACATTTTCCAGTCACCTTTTAAGCCTACAAGTGGTGACAATGTGTGATTCAAAATGTCCGGTGGAGTATTACCCTAGCATAACTGACATAGAAGGACATTTGGGTGGTGGAAAATATTGCTTATTGAGGACTTGTGTGATGTGAAAAAGAAATGTATTTTCAAATGTATCCACGTTTATAAAGAAATGTCTGTCGAGAGTAGCTAATGGGTACTGCAGCTGCAACAAATGGTCACAGCCTCATTCAACAGGTATTCACTGAGATTCCCCATTCACACACACACACACACACACACACACACACACACACACACACACACATCTGCACATGCATAAATCTTTCACCACTGCACAAGTGAGCTTTCACTTTCTGGCTGAAACCCCACCATTTAAACACACACACCTGTCAGTTTGAGTTATCTGTATTGTTTT